TCTGATCCTCTATCTTTTTTCTGCTGTGCTTTTCTTTATTTGTTGCTGTGGAATTCTGCATATCCTGTGTGCTTTTCTGTTCTGCTTTGTTTTTGTTTTTTTCCTCTGAATGAGGGCCATCCTATCTTCACCTGCTATTTGTCCGCACATAGTGTGGGTAGATGCATTCTGGTCCCTTCCTCATCTATTTAGGCACCCCAGTGTGGAGGTCTTCTGTACAGCTTCTGAGTTACCTGAAGAGGCTGTGGTAGAAACAGAGTTCATGGGAAGCCTTCCTCTGAGAACTCTTCTTCTTCTTCTTCTTTTTTTTTTGGGGGGGGGGAGAGTGGAAGGAAGGTTGGAGGAGGAGAAAAACATCGATGTGAAAGAGACACATCCACATATACCCCAACTGGGCCAGGCATTGAACCTGCAACCCAGGTAACTGCCCTTGACCAGGAATCGAACCTGCAACCCTTTGGTGCTCAGGCCGACACTCTAACCGCTGAGAAACACCGGCCAGGGATGGAGAACTTTGTCTCTGAATGTGTTGAATTCCTCTCTCGTGGACCAGCTCCAAGGAGGTGGAGACATGGCTTGTTTCCTGGGTTTTAGGTTTGCCCCTCCACTTTGAGGAGAGACGGTGACTTTGTTGAGAAAGCTGGGCCTTTGTTTTCGTTTTCGAGTCAGCATGCACATTTCTCCCAGGTTGTATCTGGTCCACAGCTTCTAACTGGGCTTGCCTCTGAGGCTCACACCTCTCAATCAGAAAGGCCTGGTTGTTAACCCCATTGTATAAACACTCAGCATTCTCTCAGCTCTGCTGCCACTTTGATTAAGCCAGCATGGAGTGTGGGTGGGACTGGCAGAATCAGAACCCAAATGGGTGGCCCATGTCCTCCTGCTGCCCTCTCATCCTCTGTCCCCTGTCCCTAGGAGCTGGATGCCTCTCCAGGATGGAGGCGTGGGGCAGGGGACCTGTCAAGCCTTCAGAATCAGCTCTCACTGTCATGCCTCCCCACCCAGAGGCTCATGACTTGACTCCCTGAGTTCTCTTTGCACTTGGTCTTGTCTTTAGTCTAGGCCCTTTTTATTCTTGAAAAAAAAAAAAACTATTGGAAAGATAGTGTTTGTAAATGTGATATAATACCACCATCATATTTAGAAATACTCTGGGAAAAGCTGCAAGGGGGCAAAATGCATCGTAATTTTTCTCCTTTTTTTCTGTTTCCAGCCTCTTGTCCCACCTGGCCTTTTGAGTCTACTCTTCCCTGACCTCGCCCACATAGCCTACCTAAGAGCCCACTCAGGCTATCCTACCCCTGTGGGTCCCAGACCTGGCACTTAAATGCTGGAAGCTCAGGGCCCTGCTTGGCTCTAAGCTTCTGAATTTAGGATGGTCAGGGGGATTACAGTTCAGCACCTTTCAGAAAACAGTAGGATGGATTTCAACCTTGGTCTCCTAGGTTTTTATAGCTCCTTATCCCTTGGCAAGAATACAAGCCCTCTTTAAGATGGGTGCCGGAGTTTTTTCTGGACGTAGCAGGTAGTATATTTGATGGCCTGAAAATCACCATGTGAGTGGCTACCCTGCCTGTCACCCACAAGGCTGGGACACCTTGTAAGTGGTTTGGACCTCTTTGCAGGTTCCATCAATGAGGAAGGGAAGTGATGCACAAAAGGTAGAGAAACATTTGGTGCCCACTTAAATGCCCCAATCAAAAGATATAAGGGAGCTGAATCAGATAAGAAAACAAGATGCATTTACGGACATACTGTCTACAAGAGACTCACCTCAAAATGAAAGATACACACAGACTACAAGTAAAGGAATGGAAAAGGACATTTCACACAAATGGAAAGGGAATAAAAGCTGGGATAGCAATACTTACCTGTATATCTGAAAGAATAGGCTTTATAACAAAGGCCATAGTAAGAGACGAAGGAGGACACTACATAACGATAAAGGGAGCAACCCAACACGAGGATATAACACTTGTAAACATTTATGCACCCAGCATACGAGCACCTAAATATGTAAAGCAAATCTTGATGGACATAAAAGGAGAGATTGACAGCAGTACAGTCATAGTAGGGGATTTTAACACCTAATTGACATCAATGGACAGATCTTCCAGACAGAAAATCAACAAGGAAACAGCAGCCTTAAATGACACACTAGATCAGATGAATTTAACTGATATCTTCAGAGCATTTCACACCTAAGTAGAGAATATATATTCTTTTCACATGCACATGGAAAATTTTCTAGGAGACACCACATGTTAGAACACAAAACAAGTCTCAATAAATTTAAGAAGATTGAAATCATATCAAGCATCTTCTCTGACCATAATGATATGAAACTAGAAATTAATCACAAGAAAAAGCACACAAACACATGGAGGCTAAGTAACATACTACTAAACAATGAATGGGTTAACAATGAGATCAAGGAAGAAATCAAAAAGTACCTTGAAACAAATGAAAATGAACACACAACAACCCAAAATCTATAGTTCACAGCTTAAATAATGCTAAGGGGAAACTCATAACAATACAGGCGTACCTCAACCAACAAGAAATATCTCACACAATCTAACTTTATACCTAAAGGAACTAGGAAAAGAACAACAAACAAAGCCCAAAGTGAGTAAAAGGAAGGAAATAATAAAGATTAAAGCAGAAATAAACAAAATAGAGTCTTTAAATAAACAACACAAAAGATCAATGAAAGCAAGAGTTGGTTCTTTGAAAAGATAAACAAGGTTGACAAACCATTAACCAGACTCATCAAGAAACAAAGAGAGATGACCCAAATAAGTAAAATCAGAAATGAAAGGGGAAAAGTAACAACTGACACCAAAGAAATAGAAAAGATTATAAGAAAACATTACAAACAACTACATGTCAACAAATTGGACAATCTGGAAGAGATGGATAAATTCCTAGAAACATACAATCTTCCAAAAATGAATCTGAAAGAATCAGAAAATCTGAATAGATAGGTTACAAGTAATGAAATTGAAGCAGTGATAATAATAAAAAAAATTCCCAACAAACAAAAGTCCTGAATCAGATGGCTTCACAGGTGAATTTTATCAAACATTCAAAGAAGAACTAACACCTATCCTTCTCAAACTCTTTCATAAAATTCAAGAGGAGGGAAGACTCCCAAGCTCATTTTACGAGGCCAGCATTATCCTAATTCCAAAACCAGATAAAGACACTACAAAGAAAGAACATTATAGGCCAATATCCCTGATAAACATAGATGCAAAAATCCTCAACAAAATATTAGCAAACAGGATCCAGCAATACATTAAAAAGATCATACACCATGATCAAGTGGGATTTATTCCTGGGATGCAAGGTTGGTACAATATCTGCAAATCGATAAACATGATACATTGCATAAGCAAAATGAAAAACAATAACACATGATCATTACAATAGATGCAGAAAAAGCATTTGATAAAACCCAGCACCCATTTATGATAAAAACAAACAAACAAACACACACAACCCAACTCTTGGCAAAGTGGGAATAAAGGGAGCATATCTCAATATAATAAAGGCCATATATGACAAACCCACAGTAAACATCATACTCAAAGGGGAAAAACTACAAGCATGTTCCTTAAGATTGGGAACAAGACAGGGATGTCTGTTTTCACCACTCTTATTCAACATAGTACTGGAAGTGCTAGCCACAGCAATCAGACAAGAAGAAGAAATACAAAGCATCCAAATTGAAAGGGAAAAAGTAAAACTGTCATTATTTATAGATGACATGATACTGTATATAGAAAACTCTAAAGATTCCACCAAAAACTTACTAGAACTGATAAATGAATTCAGTAAAGTAGGAGGATATAAAGTAAATATCCAGAAATTGGTTGCATTTTTACTCGCCAATAATTAACTATCAGAAAGGGAAATTAAGAAAACAATCCTATTCACATTTGCTCCAAAAAGAATAAAATACCTAGGAATAAATTTAACCAAGGATGTAAAAAACCTGTACTCAGAAAATTATAAGACACTGAAGGACGAAATTGAAGAAGCATATACTGTGTTCATGGATAGGAAGAATTAACATCATTAAAATGTCCATACAACCCAAAGCAATCTATAGATTCAACGCAATTCTTATCAAAATACCAATGGTGTATTTCACAGAACTAGAACAAATATTCCAGAAATTAATATGGAACCATAAAAGTCCCTGAATAGTCACAGTAATCTTGAGAAAGAAGAACAAAGTTGTAGGAATCATGCTACCTGATATCAAACTATACTACAAGGTCATAATAATAAAAAAAAACATCATAGTACCGGCATAAAAAGAGACATATAGATCAATGGAACAGAATATAGAGCCTAGAAATAAACTCACACCTTTATAGTCAAATGATATTTGACAAAGGAGGCAAAAACATACAATGGAGTAAAGGTTGTCTATTCAATAAATGGTGTTGGGAACTTGGACAGATATGTGCGAAAAAATGAAACTCGACCACCTTCTTACACCGCACACAAGAATAAATTAAAAATGGATTAAAGACTTAAATGTTAGACTTGAAACCATAGCAATCATAGAAGAAACCAAAAACAGTAAAATCTGGGGCATTTCTTGTAGCAACATTTTTTTTCAGATCTATCTCCTAGGGCCAGGGGAAAAAATAAACAAATGGGGAGATAAATGGTGATGGATGGAGACTTGGGGTGGTGAACACACAATACAGTGCACAGATGATGTGGAATTGCACCTGAAACCTGTATAATTTTGTGAACCAGTCTCAACCCAATAATTCAATAACAAGGAATAAAAAAAGAAGAGAGAAATATTTTTGGTGCCCAGAAACTTCCTTTCTCTTTGTTACTCCGTTACCTCCCTAGGGAGGGAAAAAAGGAACCGGAAAATCTGGTATCCGCAAGACCTATATAGGTGCCACTCAGAAGTGTTGGCTGGATTTAGAACACATTGTGCGCTCAGGGGCAACAACAAAAAAAAATCAATGACACGCCTCCGCTATTTGTGCAATGCCTCCCCCGGGACGCGCAGTGGCGCTGCGCCTCCGTCGAGGCTTTTGTCGGGCGCGAAGGGGCGCGCAGACTTCTGGGGATCCTCCGACAGTCGGCGGCGCACAGGGCGGC